CGTTGAGGTGATTGGGACATGTGTTACGTATGGCTAACCACCAACTGCCTCGACGAGCTATGTTTTGTGGTGTAGGAGTAGGTTGGAAGAAAGCTAGGGGCGGTCAAACCAAAACATGGCACAAATCCATGAAGTCACTGACAAGTGGACTGAGTCATGTTGGTAGATGTAGACTACCTGGTTGGGGTCCGCGAGACCACAGTCACCAATGGTTAGAGACCTTGAACGACATGGCTCAGAATCGTTTGCAATGGCGGGCGCAGGTGCATCCACTCTTTGTGTTCTCTCTAATTCTAACCTTCTGAATTCCTCATAATCTATACTTTTCTCCCTCTAAATTTACCTCACTGAATTATACTTCTCGAATGATATGTTTGCTCCCTAATCTTCTCCATTACTGCCAATACTTCTATTATTGCTATCACTGTTGGATTTGAAGTGACAGTTGCGTCTCTATGCTGATGGGGCATGGGAACGAGAACTAATGTACTTACGTACGAAGTTCTGCGTTGTATCTGTCTGTCTTTTCCTGATTTCTACTAGTTGCGTTGATTTAAAATTGGATAAGTTGGCTTTCACCTATTTTTATTCCTATCAGTTTGTTTACCGACTTTTTATATTGATGTTACGAATTGTGGATTTATGCATCGCTTTTTATCCAGTTTATCATGACTCGTTTGTATTTCGATATTGGGACTTAATTATTACTGTTCTACATTGTTTATTAAAGTATATTAATTTCATGATAATAAAATCAAATTAAAATATTAGTGTTTTTTTAATATACAAAATGAAAGTAGAGTAATCTAATGCGTAAAAATTCATAACCGTTCAACAGATAAATTGCTTTTCGAACTTAATTGTTCAGTGAACACAACGCCTTTGGTATTTAAAATAATGAATACCGGGTTTTGTGTACCGGGTGTGAACATCAACATTAGGATGCAAGTACATGCAGCTCAGTCCCAATTAAGTTTCTAAAGCAAATTGTTTTCTAAACTTGAAGCTAAAATCATATTCAAGTCTACTGTAGTCAAATAAGTACCTAGACACTTATAATAATTAATTTATTACATTTTACATAAATATTAGATATTATTGATGCATCATTGAATTCCTGTTTATATAATTTTATAATCACACCATATCAGAATGTCAAAAAATCTATAGATAGTAATTATATCTCCTAATTGTTCTTATTTAAGCCAGACATGATGTTGTGTAACTCACGTGGTTGTCTTGCACATAATTCTCAAATTCAACTTTGTGGATCAAATATAAATAGACACAGTTTATTTAGTGGTTTTATGTATAAAAAATGATAAATATTATGCACAAAATTGTGCACAACGAAAATCGTTTAAAAGAACGCAGAAAACCCTTTGATTAATTAAAACTGATGAAAATGTTTCGGTGAAGAAAGTTTTCTTTTCGACGATCCTATCAAACAAAGTTTGACTGTAATTCTGAAAAAGATGAAAAACCAATCAACCATCAACAGTGACTTCAAACATTTAACAACATTGAATTCCTCTGTCCCATGATTATGTGGGCTCCCGAATGTACATAAGAAAGACATCTGCCCCTGTCTTATAATAGATGTAAATAACTGCTCATACGATTGGTTGGTGTAAATTCCATAGCAAGGCAGAAACAAAATCTGAAAGCTTAGCACCCCGAATTCCGTTGATTTTGTTAATCTAGTAGCCAGTGTCAATGTGTCAAGAAAGAAAATAATATCGTTTGACGTCAACTCTTTTCAAAAATGATCTGTTTCTCATTCGACTATATTGACCCTAACGAAGCTGATGTCGACGCCTCCAGGCATTCCATGAAAGAACTGCTTCTACACTTCTCTTTCATTGGGCAGTATGTGTATAAGTACAGTTTCTACTAGCTAACAAATGGTGTTGCAATGGAATCCCCATTGAGTACTCTTCTAGCAGACTTTTACGGTCAACCTATAAAACAGTATCCTTCGAGCAGATCGATAACTTATATTATTTTAAGAGATATATGGATGATGCCTTCGTCATCTGTGATTAAAACAATGACCTTAGTAAAATATACAGGAGTTTAACAATTTCCGCCATTCGATCACTTTTGCCAAAGATTCCGATTTGTATTCAGAATTTTACTTCCTTCATGTTTCATTGAAAAAAATGTCCAGATGGTTTGACATACAAAAAGTCAACATAGACCAAGTATTATTACGAACTTCCAGAGGTGCGTTCCATTAAATACAAAAATAAATTTAATGCATTCTGTCTCCTTGGGAGCCAAATGAATATACGCATAAAGACAATCAGTAGCGAGCAGTGTAAAATGTAACGAATATTTTCCACTCAAATTCACTGATAGTAACGTGAAAACAGAATAACTAGATGAAAGTATAACTATACTGGAAAATGCTTTACTTATGATCTTGAATTCAAGAGAGAAAGGGCTTTGAAGTTAACTGAAGAAAAGACCATCTATATCCCTGAGAAAAAATCTTTACTTCAGAGGAGCTCTGGATAGCTTTTCTCAGTAAGAAACTCATTCACAAAAGTATCAAGAATAAACTGACATTTCTGGTCACCGCAGTATGTATTTACGATTACAGTTGCCTTTGTGGAGTGTTTAGAAGAGAACACGTTGTCAACTCACATTATATATCACAAGCAGAGTCACCATCCATGGTCACCTACAAAGTTAGATGAACCAGCTGCATAAATACCCTTTCTAATCCTACAAACTGTAACTGGCCCTTATTGTCTTATTATTTACCTTCCTATTTGTTAAGTCGACAATTATATTTGATATTTATTGTATACGCAGCATTATTTCTTGATAATTTCAATTGCTTTTCTAAGTGATGCAACATCCATTGGAAATCTTTTGGTAACAATACCATACTATTTACGTTGTATAGAATTTTACATGTGATTTATAAATAAGACAGACATGTGACTATACTTGACACACTTCTCTAGTTTACTACATCTTAAAAACATGATATCATTAATAAGAAAATTTCCCGCACTGAAAAAAAGCATTTACTATATTTAAATAACTTATAATAACTATTTTAGCATTTTTCCCTCATTGGGATTAAATAGTAGAGAGAGAGAGTTATAATCATAGATTTATGATTCATTTTCCGTGCATCATGTATCCACTGGTTTTTATTTTCTGTCTATGTAATGTATTTGTGTTGAAAGAAATAATTTACATCGGGTTCAGTACACAAAGATATGTGCATACTTTTGTTTTATCTGTTATGCATGAAAAAAAACATTTCCATTAAATATTATCATTAATATCGTCAGGAAAATAACCAACCGATGCTTACTAATGAAACGTGGATAGACTTTACATACACTGAATATGTTAGTTTATTCCATTGGTCTGATGTGAGATGCAATTATACTAATCATATTCAACAGTTGCGATATTTTGTTTGTCTGTCTGTTTTCTGTTAATTTTTTCATTTAGTCTTTTGTGATGATGTTTATTTTTCAATTGAATTGTGTTTAAGATACCGCTCTAACACGAATTTCTTCTATCTCTGGCATAAAACTTATCTTTTAATTAATTAGTTAATGAGTTGTGACTAACCAACGTCTTTGGTGCTCAGTCTGATTCTTTCGATCAAGTTGCACTAACTAATAGTTTGAGTGATTTGACATTGCTTACACAATGTTGAGATGTTAGATGGTTAGTGGTATTTGGCGGGAGACCGTAGATCTAAGTTTTTTGCTAGTTAGAAACTGAGTATCAAGTTCTACCCGTTATATTGAAATAATCAATACTTCCTTTGTAAAATTCACACCCACATAGTTGAACAGACATGGCATCCGTCAGTACCTAGTGACTAACCAGCTGTAAATTTTTCAGTCCTTCAAGGGATCAGCCTCTGCCCAAAAACCCAATTAGTGACATTTGAGATTGTGAATTTGAATGGTGCATCTTCAAATCCCAGTGGGAGGCCCGATTCCTTGAAGACTGTACGTACTCTTTGTGGGAAAGTGCCAAATAGCACGAAGCCTAGATCTCATGCTTCTTACCGACTAGCGCCAATCAACAAACAAAACTAAATATTTGAGACAAGTAAACATTTCAAATGATTTCTTAAAATCGTTTTCAATACTTGTTTTCTGACAGAATGTCAAAACCGACTTTGTATTGTCTCCTATTTATAATACTATCTTATTCAATTGTAAGGTGATTAAAATTCAATAAATTTCTTTTTATGTAGTTCAGTACAAATTACTGATGTTTGGGAGGAATGGATGATAGCAATGTACTTTGAATTGCTGCCGTTGCTTTTTAATTTAAAATGTACAATAGTGTTGGGGGATGTTAGATCCTCAAAATTCGATTGATAAATGCCTTATTTTGGTTTTCACGTTTGCCAGCATGGGCTGATCAGTTGACCTTGAGATTTCAATTCCCACCAGGAAAATCCATGGCTGTGATTGGCTGCTGTGTATTTTAGTGTGCTATTTTCTTAACTGTCCCAACGACATTTCTATGATGTATAAATAAACGAGAGTTGTATGCTTGATTGTACTGTGATTGCTGGGTGTTTGTAGAATATATCTTCTACGCTTACCAAGACTTCTGTTTTACCATTTGGATTCAAGGTAGCCTACCTGGACGCTGGTAAAAGTCTCGTTCGCGTTTATCGACTAAGTGACGAACGTTTCCAATGTTTCTTTTTACATGTTTACATGTTTTTATCGATTTTGTTAGTACGCTTTCGATAACTTGTTATTCTTTTCTGTTACATACACACACACACATTTTTTTCACGACATAAATAAACTTTATTATGCATATTGTTTGTATGGTTTTTATTTCTAGATGTATTGCAGTCTCGGTGGTTTTATCATTCTGTTGGATTGTTTTATTACGATGCTGTGCAGGTGTTATGGTTTGGACTACATTAGCTCTATTCGTTGTTCTGTTTACATTCGGTAATTACTGTTGTCTTTTTTTTTATCTCATCATCATTGTTATCAGTGAAAAAAGAGATTATATAGGCTCGTTTTTTTTAAAAAAAAAATACAAAATAAATTCACAATATTTGTTACGCTTACTTTACAAACATTCCATTAAGAGTATACCTTTTGTAGGTTTTTATTATCTAGCTTTACAATTAATAAATTCTTTAAATATTAATTAGTTTGTTTTATTTTCAAGAGAAATTACTTAATTTGAATTAATGCTTATCAGTTAATCAGTTAAAAGATTTTTGTTTGGTATTTGAATGGCTGCTTTGTTTCACAATTTGAAAGTGATATCACATAGAAATTCGTTGACAATTTCTTAGTTATCAAAGTCATCATGTTTCTTATTGATACTTAAGCGTGAGTTGTACCTCTTGTTGGTTGGTTAGTTAGATCATCATCATCGACAACAGCAACTTGGAACTTTGCACGTGAGTACAGCAGTTCAAGTTGCTATACCACATTAGCACAGAGATGTAATTGTCAATTTAAACCCAATAGAAGTAGAGGTAGTAAAAGTATTAGTAGTAATCGGAGAGATTAGGGTAGTTAGTTAGTTAGATAGTTGTGACGGTAGGTAGTTTGGCGTGCGAGTGCCGTTTTTATTTGTCTCCTTCCTTATACACATAACTTGAAATTAGTTCAATGCACCTGTGTATGATTAGTTTTTTTTGAATCGATTGATTTTCTCATACTACAATTCGTTATTACTGGTAGTGCAATAATTCTTGTCTTATCGATTTGATATTTGATATACCCATTCTAATGATATTTATTATCATTATTATTGTTATTTCATGATAATGATTTTGTTTTCAAACTAGACTCGTATTACTATGGATGAATTTTTTTTTAATGCCATATTCATTCGCTATTATCATTTATTTCATGTTTTATATTCTTAATAGTCAAATAGTTTCGTTAATAGTTGGTCTTAATAACTGAAATAATAATAATAATAATAATAATAATAATAATTGTTATTGTCGTAAAATTTTAGCTTTACAAAATTATTGTACAAATAGTTTAAATATTGTCTACTTGAACATTAAATAATTTCAGTTAACTTTTTTTTAATTCAAAATATTACTACACTAAATTAGTATTGAATAAAATTATCAAAACTTTTAAGGAAACTTCAATGGTTTTTTTATTTCATATGTATGCCATGTTTCAATTCTATTCAATATGTTCAAACAAAAATGAAACAGAAATTAATGTATGTGTGAATACAAGATTATTTTGCAAATGTTATTGGACGAGACTGAGTCATATTGTGAAGTGTAAAGTACCTGGTTGGAGTCCGCGAAATGATAGTAATCGATGGTTAAAGATCCTGAATGATATGGCTCAAAATCGTTTTCGATGGTGCAGGTGCATCCACTTTTTGTGTTCTCTCAAAAAACCCTAATCTTTTGGATTGTTGAATATAATATCTTCGAGCACTAATCTCCCCGATTATCACTTCTACTTCTACTACCTCTACTATTATGGGATTTGAATTGACAGTTGCGTCTCTGTGCTAATGTAGTATGAGAAGTTGAACTGATATACGTACGTAACTGACTGACCGATTGGACTTTAATTGTATAAACGAAATCGCCTATTTATTTATTATAAATTGTTATTAAAAAAACCATTTGACTTGTTAACGTTAAAATGGTAACTCTTTATACTGCTTCCCCAACTTTTTTTTGCGCGACCGATCAGTATATCAAAGTTTAAGTACCACAAATCTATTGTTACTTACGCACATTGTCTATTTTTGACTTTTCTCATGTTATTGTATCACACGAGACTACGGTAATAAGGCACTTTCTCCAGCTATTATTAGAAAGTAATCATTTTCGAATTCTTAATATTGATTTCTTTGTTGTGGTTCTTTTTTTTTCTGTTTGAATTTTTAGGTACTGGGTTTTGTTTTTATAAATGGAATGTATTACGTAAAACAACTGAAGGTTCTGATGATTTTGAAGTGTCTTTGAATGTCACTTCCTATTTTCGTTTAGCATCAACATGGCTTGGATTAGGTTAGTTATAATATATGAAATAAATCCATTTATATTTGATTGTTTTGATTCACTTGAAATCTGTGAAGGCATCGACTGATCATTTTCAAGGCGTTTTTTACATATTCAATCAGTACTTACTCATCATCATCGTTAGGTAAACAGTTAACTTGACTGATAATTTGATTAGATTTCAGTTAGTTAGCTTTACATCAAATTCTCTAACTTTGTTGCTTAAACTTTGTTTAAGTTCATTGAATTATTGAATGAGGAATATCTTTCTTTAGTCATGTTTGATTTTTGTTCTTTAGTTTGATGTAATATTCAAGTTTACTTCATATTCATTAACTATTTAAGTCAGTATTGATTTTTGTCTTTTTTTTTCTTATCGCCTTGTAGGAATTATTTGTGCTCTTCTATTAGTGATTATACTAATAATATTAATATTTTTACGCAATCGTATTCGTGTGGCCATTGCAATATTAAACGAAACAAGCAAGTATGTTTAGTTTTGTGCGGTAAAACATTTCAACCAATCCAGATAATTTCCGCTTTCTTCCTTGAATTTTTTCCCATGTGTGAATGAAATTGAATATAATGCATAATGTTTGCTCAAATGTATTATTTTTCTTTTTCAGAGCAGTCGCATCAATGACATCTATATTGTTTTGGCCAATTCTACCGTTTATTCTGGAATTGATTGTGATTGTTCAAGTTTTATTTGTTGCTATTTCACTTCGGACAGTAGTTGATCCTATTGGAACTAATATGACCAATGATGATCTGATTATGAATACAGCATTTGAAAATAAAGCTAAACATGATTTGAAAGAACTATTTCAACTGATTCCATGTGATCCTTTAGTAAGGACTTGATTTCTTATTTGTCATTTTTCTTTTCTCATGCATTACCATTGTTATGTTGTGTTGTGTGAAATTTCTCAATTATTCAAATACAATTTCAGTCTTTTTATTCTATTTATCACAACAATCTAAAAATTTTTTCAAGGAATTGTTCAATTAACTTGTGATCCTTCTTATTGTGTTTGTCTAGTTTAGTGATTTGATAGGTTATCCCATTATTATTACTTGAACAATCTGGTTAAGGCATTTTATGTGGAAATGAATAAAGGTCACTTACATAGAAGGTCAAATAAACCATAGAATACTAGTTGTAAATAAACGAGAGAGAAAATTAACATAGTATAGAAAGAATAAGAAATTGTCATATTACCCTAGGTCATAAAATGACTTAAAGACGACTAGGGCAAATTCAAGGTTATATCAAATAGTTACTGTACACATAAAATAGGTTTTAATTTATGAATAGCCAAGGCTTCCATAAACCTTTGAATTCGTCCTTGAACTTTTTCTACAATGTTTTAAAGGCTGTCTTCATGTCAGTTATGCGTTTCGCTATCAATGAACATGGTCTTCTATTTCCCCACATTTATCGGATTATCTGATGTTAACTGATTTTGAAGCCATCTAAGTAGATGTTCCATAAACCCTGAATTGCAACGTCCGATTCCTCCTCCCTATATATGTTTGTCCACACAAACATATTAATTGATAAATGTAATGTAATCGTTCAGGCAATGTCTAGGCTTATATGAAATCAATGGCTCAATCCCTTCAATTGTAATCAGTTTATCAGCATAATATATTTTCTCTATGGCTGTTTTTAGTCTCTGTCTTAAGATTAAACCGTTTGATTCACCTCTAAATTGTGAAGAGATTGAAACACTTTTCTTTTCCACAGAATAAAAAAACAAGCTTTTGTCTTAACGGATTTCTACATTTATGTATAAACTTGAGTGAATAACCGTTCGAAATTAATGATTCAGTCAAGAGTTTCGCATCATCTTCAAATGTATCTGTATTGCATCTTCTTTGCGCCCTATTGAAAAGGCATTTCACCAAGTCTCGCCTCTGCTGCAGGGGACAAAAACTGTGGGTTGGCTTCCTTCCCATAGTTCCATCCTCCTCTCTTCAAAAATTTTATTAGATTTTTAAAAAAAATTTATTTGTATTCTTCGTTTTAAAATCTGTTTATATTAGACATTATTTTTTATTCGTTCTCTTTTTGCACTCAACTTGGTTTATTGTAGAAAAACAATTCAGCTGGCAAAGCTTGTCGTTTTCTATACTATGGCGATCGGAAGTAAGTTACTGTAAGATAGAAAAAAAATTTGCATTATTCATATAGTAATATATTAATAGCAATTTGAAACATTCACTGAGTTTGTTTTGTTTACAACAACTCACTATGCTATTTCGTTAGATTGTACTATCATAACCAAGCACATTCATGACTTATATTGTTGTTATCTGATAATTAATTAATTGAAATACCCCAAACACCAGTGAATTATGATATTTTTTCCGTATTTCATTTTATGATATTATTTTGTTTCTCGACATATTAAAATGTTCAAAAAGTTTACAATTTAATCCTTGATACTTGAGTTAGTTAACTTTACATATGGTCACCTAATGAGCACTTGAAATTACACTAACCGATTTTAACATGTAACAGTTTTTTTGTCGATCAGCGTTTGTTTAACAAGTTAGTTTTCTACGGGATGAGGTCGCTAACCTCCTAGTGCTCAACGCCTCCTCCTTTATTCGAGCTTGGGATCAGGCAGTAATCCAAGAGACGCTCCAGGTAGATTTGATTCAAGAAAAATACACTTCTCATTTAATCGTTACAATGTTCATTGGGTTTCAAGTGTCGGATAATATATGATTAGTATAGACTGTTATTTAGTCTTAGATACTCCGTTTGTTCAAAACTCGTTGAATTTAATTTAATTTAATCAACCGGGTAACTGGTTAAATGTTACAATTGCTTATTCTTCAACTAATTTTCTTTTTTTCTGCCTTGTTTTTTCCTTTTTTTAATTAATTAATTTATTTTGAATTTTAGGTATACAATCTATTTACAATTCTACAATTTATTCATGTTCTTTTGGTTAATCAATTTTGTCAAATCATTAACACAAATGACTTTAGCTGGAACATTTGCTGAATATTATTTTTCACGTCATGATAAAAAATCCACCTCCAATTGTCCATTATTCACAAGTTTATTTCGATCAGTTTTTTATCATATTGGTTCATTGGCATTTGGTTCATTTTTAATTGCACTATTACAATGGCTTCGTGTTATTCTTGAATATATTCAGACAAAATTAAAAAAAGCTAATAATCCTGTTGCAAATTTTTTCATGAAATGTTTAAGTTGTTGTTTTTGGGTACTTGAAAAATTCTTACGATTTCTTAATAGAAATGCTTTTATTATGGTAAGTTTAAAGGGGAGTTGGGTGTATCTTTTTTTAAAATACTGAATGTCAATTATTACAATTATATCAATTTACCCTGTATTGTCAAGGGCAATTTTACATTGGTTTTCAGGAGAACTAAAGAGACTGGACACGTTTTACCATTACTACATGAACAGTTCGGCTCAATCCTGTGGTGCAACCACACAGGTACCTGATACCCTGGTGGACCATTCACACCATTTCATATACACACAATGGTATATATATTTCCGATCAATGATCGCGTCAATCAATATGCACCGCATGAACAGGCCATTTCGACCCATCCCGCGTACATGACTGTCAAACTCATTATTATTAGCAATGGTGATATGTAATACAGCACCCCAATGACAATGGCCCTCGGGAATGTCGCAAAACAACCACCTATATCAATGAAATCGGTCACCCTGCTAACCAATTTTGTATATGGACTGTTAACAATGCTTACCAAAGCAAAGCAAAGCCATCCACAATACTCACAGAGAACCTTTAGTCTCTTCGAGGAAACCTTCAGCTCTATATAGTAGTATAGCATAGCATATGGTGTACACATATATGGCGCAGGATAGTAGAAGAGGCAATCCAGCTTGATGCAAATAGGCCCAAACACTTCTATTACCCTTTGTCTCATGTCGGGCAATGATTTTTCCGCGTTTCCGAAATTTTCATTTTTCGACCATATGAGACCTGAGTTAGGGGTAGTTTCCCTGTACTGAATGTATCAGTAGTTATTGTAAAATGCAACTAGTTTTTTTTCCTTCCTATTCAACAACTATCAAACTCATTAAGTACACGTTCTCCTTCATTTGCATAGATTCACATAATTATCATCCTTATTCTATACTCTTCTTTTATCTGTCTACTGATAATTACGCTTATTGAAATTGTTGCATTATTTACGTATTTCTACTACTATTTATTGTAGATGAATCCTGTTTTATTATTAGTTTTGTTTTAAAGAAATATTTACATTGTATCACTGTGCACAATTTGCATTTAGTCGGTTTAGGTGAAATGTTCAATAGAGAGAGCCAGACAATATTGCAACTTTCAAAGTTCACACAGACATTGTACACTTTTTTCGGCAAGAATCAAAATACTATAATTTGCCAATGAAAGCACTCACAATCAATTAGTCTTTATTATTACTATTATTATTACTTTTTTTAAGAATCAATTTTGCGTTGAACACATACAATTTAGCTTTATTTGAGAATCTTTCGTGTAATTATGTGTTTTTCCTCACAAAGAAATCCTATCGACCTTAATATATTTAGACAACAAGGGATGCCGAAAAAAAAACACTGTCTAGTGCAGTATATTAACAGTTGTAATATTGATCTTAACATAAACTATCAAAGTCTATTACTACTATCCTACTCTGTAAACAGGAATATAACCTGTTTTTTTTGTTAACATGTTTATTAGTTCAATGATAAAAAATCATTTACAATTAGGAAATCTATTATTTCCTTGATTTATTACATTTTATCGATTTTTAAGTTCATTCTAACATTTGTAATTACTGGTTTGTGTGTATTATATGCTCCTTTCATATATATATATATATATATATATATATATATATATATATATATATATATATATATATATATATATATATATATATATATATATATGATCTCTACAACACTAATGCACTATCAAAAAAAAGGGCCCACTAGTTACTAGCTTCGTGAGGAAATTCTCGGAGTTCTAGCGAAAAGATGTGATCAGTGAAGTTCAACACTGTCGGGTGTAGTCAGTAAATACTAAAGACAATGAGTGAGGTTGCACAAAATCCTTATATTGATCAGAGTAAGACATTAACACCGTTGAATTATGGCTCAGTGGTCTAAAGGTTAAGCGTTCGCGAACAAGGTCGAAGGTCCTGGGTTCGAATCACGAGAGTGGCAGGAACCAAATGTACACTGCTTATGAGTCCCACACCAGAACGAAACGGTCATACAGTGTTTCCAGGTTACTAGTGCTGGTCTAACAATGATTCATTCATGATTTCAAGGTAATTCTATCACACAATGAAAATATTTTTTGATAGTGCATTAGTGTTGTAGAGATCATATATATATATATATATATATATATATATATATATATATATATATGCACACTAAGGAGCCTTTTTTTCTTGCATACAAAGTAAATATTTTCATTGTGTGATAGAATTACCTTGAAATCATGAATGAATCATTGTTAGACCAGCACTAGTAACCTGGAAACACTGTATGACCGTTTCGTTCTGGTGTGGGACTCATAAGCAGTGTACATTTGGTTCCTGCCACTCTCGTGATTCGAACCCAGGACCTTCGACCTTGTTCGCGAACGCTTAACCTTTAGACCACTGAGCCATAATTCAACGGTGTTAATGTCTTACTCTGATCAATATAAGGATTTTGTGCAACCTCACTCATTGTCTTTAGTATTTACTGACTACACCCGACAGTGTTGAACTTCACTGATCACATCTTTTCGCTAGAACTCCGAGAATTTCCTCACGAAGCTAGTAACTAGTGGGCCCTTTTTTTTGATAGTGCATTAGTGTTGTAGAGATCATTGTTTTACATTTATATCATTAATATGCTCACTAAAGACTAGTTTCGTGAGGTTCTAGGAGTTCTAGTGAGATGTCATGACCAGTAGAGTTCAACCCTGTTGGGTTTAGGCAGTAACTACTAGCGACAATGAGTGAGGTTGTACAAAATCCCTATATTGATCAGAGTAAGACATTAACACCGTTGAGTTCCGGCCCAGTGGTTTAAACGTTAAGCGTTCGTGCACTAGACTTGAAGGTTCATTTTCGGTATTTTGAATGCACATATTTCTGATGAGTTCCTATACTAGGACAAAATGGCCGTCCAACAATGATCGGTTCATGCTTTCGAATGATAAACCATATTTTCGGTAACTGTGTATTTTATTGTCTTATTAGAATAGGCAATAGACCCTTCATTATGCTCCATTTTGATAAATATACCATGTTGAAATCGGTAATGTGTTGTGATAGCTGTTGAAGAACAAATCATTATTCTTTCTTTGAGAAATTTCCTACTTTATCACTTAGTGATTGAATTGTAGATTAAAATACCAGTTAATTGACATGTTCGTTTGTTTATAATTGATTTAACAATATTTATCAAAGATATAAAGTTCAGTTTTGAGAGTGAATTTCCTCAAAAGCTATGATCTACATGTTGTGATAAAAAATAATCATGTTTTATATTTTTAAGTTTTTATGTGATTATTGGTAAACAAGTCACTCTGCATACCTATAATGCCGTTAACAATATTTTAACTTTCAAATCAAACTGAGATTATGATTGACATATTTCACTTAAAATAAAAAAATAATTCATAATCTAATACTTTATATTTTTTTCAAAAAAAACATCCTTTTCAGATTGCTATCCATGGTCAAAGTTTTTGTTCTGCCTCTCGTTCAGCATTATCTTTATTGATGCGCAATGTAGTCAGGTACTTTTGTATACATGTGTATATAGTTTAAAATTTTGTTTTAAATAAATAATTTTGTAAGCTCGTTCGTTATGTTTCCGCAAATTTGCATCGTTTGCAATTTAAACCTGTTCAATGTGGTTTTCGCCTTCTGATTATTTATTTTTTAAGAGAGAAAAAAAGCCATTTTTTTCTCGAATTAATCTTTTTTTTTACTACTTCAGTATTTTATTTGTTTGTTTATAGTTAATGTCAATCATGCTTATTATTGTTTTCTCTTATTTTATAAGTTGTCTTTTAATGCCATCTTTTGTAAAAATTTCAAATGTTTCTTGCTTTCGAATAATATATTTTCTTGAATTCTGTATTTAGGATGTATTATCAAGTTGATTTTAGAAGCTTTATATAACTGTTTTACCATTGACCGAATAGGTTATTTATCACTATACTTTACCTATATACAATAATTATAGTCATATAAAACCAATGTCCATAGAGGCACTTCAGTTACTTGGAATAGCTAATGCAAAATGTTCGTTTCATCTTAGTATGGGACTCATCAGCAATATGCATTCATGACCCCTTCACTCAGGTATCAATCCTAGGAACTTCGACGTCTCGTGCAAATGCTTAACCTCTAGACCATTGTGTCGGCACCCAGCGGTGTAAATGTCTAACTTTGATTGATGCACGGTCTTGCGCGACCTAATCTATTATCATCGGCAGGTTTGAAGTCCACTTATCACGATTTTCACTGGAACTCGGAAAAATTTCCTCAGGAAGCTAGTTACTAGTAGAGTTCAACCCTTTTTGATATGGTGGAGAAAATTTGTAGCTCATGTGGATGATTATGGTCGAGTCTCGTTGTCTGAACTGGATATTTTGGTTATGGAGATTACTGAACAACATCATTAGCACAAACTTCCCGAAGTTTATGAAACAGTGGTTGCGCACTGCTGATGAGTCCCATACTAAGATGAGACCGCCATCCAGTGCTTTCTAATGATAGTTTAACATAGATTGTTTCATGTTTTCGCATGAAACTCATTATTTTTAGTCTGTTTTGTTTCTTAACAGTCCATTGTTGATACGAAGGTTTAGTCCTTTGTGGTTTCCTGTTTTGAACTGTAATAATTTGAATTGACACTCTATATTCACTTGTTTCCGCTTTGCTCATGTATGCTTGAACAGTAAATTACATCATGTATTATCATTTCGAATAATGAAGTTGTACAAAATAACACTTCTCCTGTCATTCCATAACTAAATGTGTTCGCAATATCTTGAGAATATTGTGTTCGTCACAAAAAAAAGGAAAACAGAAATAATAACTAGAATATTTTGTTAAAATACATCAAAATATCTCCATTTTGTTTCGATTTAACATCTAATTGTATTTGTTAGATGAATTGTATGTATGTATACAAATATTTAAATCATTTTCAATTAGAGTCATGAAATCATCAATCAATCATTGTTAGACCACCATTAGAAACCTGGAAGCACTGGATCGCCGTTTCGTCCTGGTATGGGACTCATCAGCTGTACGCATCCACGACTCCTGCATCTCACAGGATTCGAACCCGAGAACGCCTAACCTATGGACCACTGGACTGGCGTCTAACGGTGTTAATGATTCCCATACCACGACGATACAGCCGTCAAGTGCTTCCAGGTTTCTAATGGTGGTCTAACAATGATTGATTGATGATTTCAAAATTAAATCATGGTTAGTTGAAAATGTATCTGCATTGCATTCGAAGAAAAGAAGGCTACTTTTTAGTCTGAAAACCTGTTTCCTTTTTTTTCATGGTTTCTTTTATTCGTAACATTGAATATATCTATATACATGGATTTTCATACAATGTTTTATTATCTCTTGTTTTTCTTATGTACAGACTTATTGTGGTTGATAAAGTGACTGATTTTATCCTATTTATTGGAAAACTTGTTGTTGTCGGTGTTGTAGGTAAGTGATCCATATCTGAATGATGATGTGAACATGGAGAAAAAAAAGATGTTATTTCAATAAGATTTAGCTCTTATTGTGCAGTATCACTGGCTCATTTCTTTTGAGCCTTTCAACAAGCACATTGCCTGTATAATTAATTGTATATGTATCAGTGTGTACGTTGGCACTTTTGCATCATATCAATTTGTTTGTTATTTAGGGCAAAAAATACGAAATGCAAATTTTTTTCTCACTGTTAATATAATAATTATTATGCAAAAATGTTAAATAATTATCATTTGGCTTCGATATTATTCATGTGATTCACATATTAGTCTGTTTGAGAAAAAAGAAATTGGTGTTTCGTTAACAAAATTAAAAAGTAATAAGAATTGTTGCTGAATATATTTGTGTGTACACATTTTTGTGTATACCGAATTACTTCAATACAATCTGACCAAATAAAGCGCTGATTGAAAATCTATTAACATAAGTTGTTTGTAAATTTTCACCATCACTTATAATCCCTAATACAAATTTCTATCGAAACTAATTCTTGTATATATTTTTATAGTTAAACTTTATGTCATTATACGTGGTGGCCTTGTTTGGTCACCTGAATGTTTTTCATCGTTAAGCGTAAGTGATTTCCACCGTTGTCGAATTAGAAATTTTCCCTACCCTTATCTTCTATGTTAGCATGTTGTGGAAGTTTATTGTAACACTTTTCTTCTATGTTACACACATTGGTCATGCATGTATCTCATATGATGGTAGTGTGTGTGTGTGTGTTGTACTCATTGATAAAATGTTATTTGAGAAACGTCATATCCATCATTTGTATCATCATTGTACATTAAATGGTTATTATCAAATTTCAATGTTATCAAAACTAAATTCATTTAATCCATAATGCTTGACTAATTAACGAAATATCATTTTTTTTCTTTATTGTATGTTAATCTGATGAGATGTTCAACTTCTTGTATTCTTTTCAATGTTACATTGCAGTGTTGTACTACTATGTAGCTAATGTTTAACGATTTGTTTGTCGTCTGGTTTGTAACGAATTATATGTATTTTTTTTCCCTTGAATTTAGGTAGTTTGGCTTATGTCTATTTGGAAGGCATATTGTTTAAAGGGAATGATTATGTGAATGATGCACTATATCCCACTAATCTTCACTATACATTTTTACCATTAGGTGTAAGTAACTGATTATAATAATAATAATAATAATAATAATAATAATAGTTGTGTGTACATTCCAGTATTTTTCAAGTTGATTTCATGTGATCATCGTGTATGTTTTCTTTGGTCTTTTCAATCATTAGTAGACCGGAGTTATTTTTTTTATTTCTTTGTTGTCTCTACTTGTTGTTGTGTCTAGAATAAGTAATCTTGCAGTCTTTGTGTACTTGACTTTGGTTAATACGCAATCCAATGAATATTTGATCGATTAGTCACTGATGGTCAACTTAGAGCCATGTTTCCAGTATCATAATAACACAGCTAAAAGTAACTAAAATGATTCACAGTAAGATAGTCAACATTTTAGTAATATCTCAGATAGTGAGGAAGTCTAATTATTGAAGTGTCTAATTTAAACAGAAGGAAGGAAGTAATCCTTAACTTTATAATTTGTGTTAAGTTACCATTAAATAAACGTGCTATCTTTCAGTATTTCGACTGAAAAAAGGAGTGTTCAAAGTAATTTAAATCACGACAAACAAAATGTTCATCTTAGAGGTAGGTTTTCAATCCTTTCTAGTCGATTCTTTAATTCATAAAAAACTGTTTACTTTGTTTTGCTATCAACAACTTATACTCTGTGTGATAGATCTAAGTTTAGACGAATTATTTTCTTACTCTAGAAAATAGGAATGTCACTAAATGTAGTTAGTTTATTGGTTTTACAAATAGTGACAAGTCTTCGCATCACTTTCCAGTTTCCATAACTTTAATATATCCTTGTCGTTTGATCAAAAAATAGAAGTCCTTTCTAAAATCTTACGGTAAATTCCTATTCTGTTTATTCTGGTAAAGGTACATGGAAATTCTTTCCTTAGTAAATCAATAACGATCAATCGTACATACATTATGTACTGTGATACTTAATTTATTTCATTTAATTTATTTGAAAAAAACTAGTTCTTCATTCTTTATGTTATGAATTTTTAGATTATTATATTGTCGTCTTACCTTGTGGCGTCATTATTCTCCAGTGTATTTGAAATGGGTGTTGATACAATATTTCTTTGCTTCTGTAAGTCCATAGTATTCTTCATTAAATATTCAATTTAATTAGTTTGAAAATAAATGAAAATTAAAGTAAATGAAGATAAAGTTAATTTTGTAATTTTTATCTTTGACTGTTGGAAAAAATCGTCTGTAACAAATTTCTCTCTGGGAACCTAGTTGTTGTGCATTCAAGTTGACTGTTTTCTTGCCTGTCTTTCAATTTAGTCACTACAATATCTTTTTTTTCAACAGCCAATCAAAGCTAGTCTGTGAATATTCTTCCATTAGTGCCTCGCATACAGTACTGTTGTGTTGATGTTAATGAACAGTTGACAGGTTGGTTACTAGTTATCACTTGATGAATTTCAGCAAAGCTTGGCAATTTCCACAGAACTGGTGAATTTTTTCCTTACAACGTAAATCGATAACACACTTCTGCTACTTTATGTCTCAATAAAATAATTTCATCAGTAATGTGTCTATATGATCAATTTTATTTTATTTCTTTGTTTCTCTACAGTGGAAGATTTGGAAAGAAGTGAATCTGCTGAAAGACCACACTTAATGAGTACTAAATATATCATTCTTGTATATATATATATATATATACATATATATATATATATATATATATTTTTAATCACATTTTCAACGTTATACTTACATGATCCAAGACTCCATTCCTTGTTTATTTTGATGCATCCCGAGGGCCGGGGGTTTTTGATTATTCTCGTTCCAGAATTATCTGACTGTCTATCATCGCTAAATAAAAACGAATGAGTCTATCGTTATGATAAAAGCGTTCTAAGGATAAGTCTTAGCTTTCTAGGTCTGTCTTTCATATTCACTAGTGGTTTCTTATCTCTACGGTTATAGGGTGAGGGGTTATATTATCTCCCCGAAACTCACTCCGGTTAATATCTTCGTCAAAGCTTCTGTTATTGAAATTTATTACTTCAGTAACATCATCCTGTATCTGCAAGATTAAATCAAAATATAGTTTATTTTTTCAAATAGACCAGTGTAATTATCTAGTTTTAATTATAAAGTGCAAAGAAGGCTGGTCATATTGATCACTGTGTGTCGGAGAGTTATTCATCAAAAGCCTAGTTGACATTTGAAATTTTTTTCTAGATATGAACTGATTATCATAAAGTCAAGTTTGTCATCTGTGCTCACTGTAGTGGAAATATTCAAATTCCTCTATTTTTTTCAAGGATAAACTGAGAAAAAATAACATTAACCTGACAATTTCATCAGTTAGTAATTTTATTACTTCTATTTTTTTTTAAAAAAAAAAATTTCTTTACAGTGGAAGATGTGGAGAAAAATGACGGGTCTGCTGAAAGACCATACTATATGAGCAAAAATCTTATGAGTATTTTAGGTAAACGTAATGTATCTTAAAAGTGGTGGTGGTGGTTCAAGTTGTCGAAATCGACCGTCAACTATTTTGAAACACGCGAAACGAATTATGTGTAATATCCGCTGAATGAATTGCCTTCAATGCGCCGACTGTATGCGTAAAATGCTTTCTTTTTTCCCTGCGTTTTCTTTTTAAACTTTCACAAAACAATTTTGTGACGAAACAAAAGAAAAATAAAATTCATTCATGCCATCATCATTCATTGTTTTTTGTTTCATGCTTTTTTATTATTTCGTTTCTTCTATGATGATGCTGCTGCTGCTCACTTGCTGCTTTCTGTTTAATTGTTTAGATTCTCCTAATAAATCATCTCTTTTCGGCCCCCTTTTTTTCTCAACAATTATTATTATTATTCATAATATACATTTTTTGTTTAAAAGAAATTGTTAGTCAATAATTTTGTTTTTCATTTGAACAATAGATAGTTCATTTTAATTCATCTGTAACTGCCTTATTATTATTATTATTATGACTAAATCATGATATTGAAAAGCACTTCTTTTTTTTAAAAAAAAAAAATCAAAATGACCTTTTCAACTAGACAAAAACAATGCTGACTAATCTCAATGTTCAATTTTTCTAAACTTTTTTCTAAAAATTTTTATAGGAGAAAACTGTTTGCAATATTGTAGTTAAAATATAGCATGTGTTATAACTTGATAAGTTTTGTTCGATAGTCCAGCTTAGTAGCTTTTGGAACTAGACTCAAATGTTTTATTTCAGCTGTGGTTGGTCATTTAAGTGTTCACAATTTGAACTTGCTTACTAGATTTCTATCATTCTAACTACTCATTCCCTTTAAGTAGTATATATTTTACGGTTTTCATTATCGTGTTCTTGATACTGACGTGAATATGTAAATAATATGTCGTGATCTGGAAAAGTGATTAAATAACCCCACAATTGGGTCTCATATATAAAAATAGATTATCACTCATATATAACAAAAAAAACCATGAACTTTGGTCTGATTTTGAGACTGAATGAGAGGCAATTCATAACATATGCATTATCATAATTAGAGAGCCACCCGTGATTTTTTTAGCAAGTTGCCGTTGTAAACTAAATTTATATGTGTAATGTCTTTTACCAGATCCGGCTAACACAATAAAACCTTTGGAACTAGGATAAGTAGAACCGACCCCAAGGTCGCAAAATAAACGCCCTATGACAAACAGAAGAAATCTTTACTACAATAAGCATCCGAAAGGAATAGAGAAACCATGTGTATTTATAGATTAAGCATGGAGTTGAATCGCTTTATGCCACATCGACATCCTAGGGGTTTTGTCGAGCTGTGGTTGGGTGGAAACCCTTTGACTTCTGGGGATCTTATTGGATTCTTGGGGATATAAGCTGATTGTGGCTTCCACGGTATTGGCAGACGGAAAATGACATCAGCTATCATACCCATAACTCCGCCAGTAGAACCTTCGGGGCTACTGCCGGTCCCAAGCCCGGGTAAAGGAGGAGGGTTGGACATGAGGTTGGCGACCCCATTCCGTCAAAAACTAACTTGCCAAAAAAACGCTAACCAGAAAAAAATTATTCAAACCATTTTAACTCTGCCCTGGGAGTTGGAGGAAGAATTATGACGTCTAGTGATGAAAGCCGAGTTCCCTCGGAAGTCACGGGGCCGATGCCTCTTCTGACAACCAGAGAAACCATTTTTTTAGGTACATGGAACGTTCGTACATTGTGGGAGACTGGAAGACTATTTCAAGTTGCGGCAGAAATGAAAAGATACAACCTCGAGGTGCTTGGAATCAGTGGAACACATTGGACACAAGTAGGACAACTGAGACTAGCTTCAGGGGAACTGCTGTTATACTCTGGTCATGAACAGGAAAATGCTTCACATACACAAGGAGTTGCATTGGTGCTGTCCAAACATGCACAAAAGGCACTAATAGGATGGGAATCTCATGGGCCGAGGATCATTAAAGCATCCTTCAAAACAAAGAAACAGGACATTACAATGAACGTCATCCAATGTTATGCACCTACCAACGACTACAATGACGACGATAAAGATCAATTCTACGAAAGGCTGCAGTCAATCGTCGAGAAATGTTCACCAAAGGATTTGACGATTCTTATGGGAGACCTGAATGCCAAGGTTGGAATGGACAACATTGGATATGAAGACATCATGGGACGACATGGACTGGGAGAAAGAAACGAAAACGGTGAGAGATTTGCAAACCTATGTCTCTCAACAAACTGGTCATCGGTGGCACAATATTCCCGCACAAACGCATACACAAAGCCACATGGATTTCACCGGATCACACTACTCAAAACCAGATTGATCATATCTGTATCAACAAAACGTTCAGAAGGACTATGGAGGATGTGAGAACCATGAGAGGAGCTGATGTAGCCTCAGATCACCATTTGCTAATCGCCAAAATGAAACTGAAACTAAAGAAGCACTGGACAACGGGACAGAAAACATCACAGAAGTTTAATACGGCCTTTCTTCGGGATACTGTAAAGCTCAACGAATTCAGGATAGCCCTCACCAATAGGTTCCAGGCCTTTCAAAATCTACACAATGGAGAGGAAGCAACATTGGAGAACAATTGGAAAGGGATTAAGGAGGCAATCACTTCAACATGTCAGGAGGTCCTTGGTCGCAAGAAGCAGCATCACAAGGAAGAAGAAGAAGAAGATTTGGGATGAGGAACAAGTACCATCAGATTGGAAAGAAGGATACCTCATCAAAATACCAAAGAAAGGCGATCTCAGCAAGTGTGAGAACTACAGAGGCATGACTCCTCTTCCAATACCAAGCAAAGTCTTCAACAGGGTATTGTTAAACAGAATGAAGGACTTCGTAGACGCCCAACTTCGAGATCAACAGGCCGGATTTCGTAAGGATCGATCGTGTACTGACCAAATTGCTACATTACGGATCATTGTGGAACAATCAATTGAATGGAACTCACCACTCTACATCAACTTAATCGACTACGAGAAAGCATTCCATAACGTGGACAGGAAAACACTGTGGACTCTTCTTCGACACTACGTTGTGCCTGAGAAAATAGTTAACATCATACGGAACTCTTATGATGGATTCAACTGCAAAATCGTACACGAAGGACAGCTAACAGACTCCTTTGAGGTGAAGACCGGCGTGAGGCAAGGTTGCTTACTCTCACCCTTTCTCTTTCTCCTGGTGATCGACTGGATTATGAAAACGTCAACATCTGGAGGGAAGCACGGTATCAACTGGACAGTTAGGACGCAGCTGGACGATCTGGACTTCGCAGATGACCTGGCTCTTCTATCTCACACGCAACAACAAATGCAAGAGAAGATGACCAGTGTAGCAGCAGCCTCTGCAGCAGTATGTCTCAAAATACATAAAGGAAAAAGCAAAATTCTCCGATACAACACAACATGCATCAATCAAATCACTCTTGATGGGGATGCCTTGGAGGACGTTAACACCTTTACATATCTGGGCAGCATCATCGACAACCAAGGTGGATCTGATGCAGATGTGAGGTCACGGATTGGCAAAGCGAGGGCTGCATTTCTACAGTTGAAAAATATCTGGAAATCCAAACAACTTTCAACCAAAACCAAAATAAGGATTTTCAATACAAATGTGAAGACAGTTTTACTGTATGGAGCGGAAACTTGGAGAACTACCAAAGCCATCATCCAGAGGATACAAGTGTTTATTAACAGCTGTCTACGCAAAATACTTCGTATTCGTTGGCCAGACACGATCAGCAACAACGAACTGTGGGAGAGAACAAACCAGATTCGAGTGGAGGAGGAAATCAGGAAGAAGCGGTGGAAGTGGATAGGACACACATTGCGGAAAGCACCTAACTGCGTCACGAGGCAAGCCCTCACATGGAACCCTCAAGGCAAAAGGAAAAGAGGAAGGCCAAAGAATACATTACGCCGAGAAATAGAGAAAGATATGAGAGGAATGAACAAACATTGGACAGAACTGGAGAAAGAAGCCCAGGACAGAGTTGGTTGGAGAAAACTGGTGGGCGGCCTATGCTCCATTGGGGGTAACAGGCGTAAGTAAAGTATCATACCCATAACAGCACACGAGACCAAACTAATCCTAGCTAAGCTAAGAATATATTTCAATAGCAACATGAAAAACAGGCAGCCATTTAAGTGATACCCACCCCGAGACAGCTTGGAATGATATCCAAGAAGCTGTGGAAACAGCAGTGATATCTGCTGGTAAGGTAAACTATAAGGTTAGAGAGATCTCAGTAACTGACGGGTGCTCGGAAACTCATTCCACCCGGCTCTGAAAATGAGTGTAGTCGGCTTAGGTGAAGGCTGATAAGAAGCAGCCTCGATAGATAACAATAGAGAACTGTTCAGATGTATCGAGGAAATCGGTATTAAGAAATCAACTGTTAGTGAGACTATCTCAATCCAGGAGATTGTATTGATGTGCAGAACACTGTGAAGATCAATTTTGCTGGCCTCCAGCCACACTACGGTTACCCACGATCTCCAACTAACCTGAACGACAAGTTGATTTAAGTCCTCCGACTTTTTATGAGTTTGAAAAGTCCGTAAGTAATATCAAACTAGGGAGAGCAGCAGGTCCTGATGGGTTAACTCTTGAGCTTAAGAGTTAGATTAACTTTGATCTTTGCTAGAATTTGGGGACTGGAACTAACTGGTCGCCATCACTGATTGTCCTAATTTATAAAACAGGACGAAATTCTTAGGTGAAACCTACGGAGGAATCAGTTCAACTAATAGTGTCTAAAATATTATCATTGATAATAATTCAAAGTTTAGATACGAGAAACCCAGGCTCGTTTTAGACCTAGATGTGGCTGTATAGATCATATATTCATACTTCTTCAGGTCCTAGAATATAGTTGTATTTCTCGACCTTAAGAAAGGATCTGACTTTGCTGATCGTGAATTTCTGTCACAGTGTATTTCATTGAAAGGAGTTCTAAAGAAGGAAATTAACCTTATACGTGCTCTCTATCAGAACACTTGGTCGAGTGAGAGCTTATGACCAGCTGTCATTGTAAGTGATTGATTACTTCGAGTGATGTTCGTCAGAGTTGTACTCTTCCCCATTTTTATTGATCTTTGTCATTGATATGCTTCTACAGACAGCACGTTCATCGTCTTTTGTAAGTGTCACCATTTTCCTTAACTAACTATATCACTTTCTCGGTTCCTCCCTCGACTAGTGCAGCTTCCTATTCATTGCTAACTAGATATACTTTGTTAAGTACCCTCTCTCCCACATCAAAACTGTGAGTAGGCTCGTTGTTAGTTTTATCAACTCGTCTGTGCTGCAACATGCTGTCAAAGGTTTTTCGAATTTTACCCCTGAACATGCACTCTGGTGAGAACCTTCCTTCTGGTACGGGATCATGTGGGTAGCTCGATAAGATGTTGAAAATTTATTTACTACACGTATTGGTATTCCTTTTCATTCCCTCTTTATTGGCGCCCTTTTAAACATATCTACAAATATTTCAGCTTGTCAGTTTGACTGTGGATGAAATTAGAACGGTCGTACATGAATAATTACATTTTTATAGCAAAATTTTGAATGTGGCTGGTATGAATCGCGTGCCATCATCTGTCACTAAGATCTCCAAAACGACTAAACAAGTCTGACAACTGCCTTATTGTTGCCTTTCCTGTTGGGTTCGTTACAGCTTAAATTTCTGGCAACTTAGTAAAATCGTACACAAAGATCAAAGAGGTTTTTTCTATGTAGAGGGCCAGCAAAATCAGCATTTATTCTTTGTCAAGAGCTTTCCGATTTCGGCA